TATCTTTTGATATCTTAAATTGTACTTTTGTACGATATTGAGAAATTTTAATCGATTATTTTTATGTCTAAACTTCATGACTAGATATTACTAATTCCAGTCTCCGAGATTTAGTTCATTCCTTTTCTCGACAAATAACACATGTTAGGTACTTGGGCAATCAAAAGTCTTATAATTTTCCGAGAGAAGAGAATAGACTATGGAAAATTTAATATTAGATTTAGATTTCAAGGACAAAACGTGTGGACAGGTCTGCTTGTCTTTGTAGATGGAGAGCTATTGATTACTCATGCATCAAGACAGCAAGTCATTCTTTGAAAAAAATCTAAAGAGAAATTTATTTAGAATTATCATAATTAGAGAATATCAGTTTATACCATTCTGATGGTCTTAATATACGTGTTATTGCTATTATTTTTTATTGTTATTTTTTGTAAATGTTTTAGGTGTATCGTACCTTTAAAATGCCCGTTGTTTTTGTTTAGCAAAGTATGTTGAACGTCTTCGTGGTGCTGACAAGAATATCGAGACATTTCCATGTCCTACATGTCGCTCGGAGTTTACTCTCAAATTAAACCAAGATGTTGCTGAACTGCCAAGTAATTATTTCATTAAGAATATGCTAGAAATTATGGCGATTCAACGAAAAGCGAAAGCGTCTGCTGCGTGTTCACACTGCCAAGATACTGCCATTAATCAGTGCGCATCGTGCGAAATGTTTATGTGTAAGAAATGCTCAGAGTGGCATGATATTTGGCCTGCGCACAAAAATCATAATTTGATATCTGTGGAGGAACTTAGCAATCCTGAACATCAAGTGAAAATGAGAAACAAGCTTTATTGCACGAAACACGAAGATGAAGTACTCAAAATATATTGCGAAACATGCAAGGAACTTTGCTGTGTAGATTGTATGCTATTAAATCACACAAAACAAAACCATTCGCTTGTGGCAGTGAACGAGATTGCACAGAAGCAAAGAGAAACATTGAAATCAAGCTGCACAACACTTGATGAGAAATTAGCTGAAGGAAAGGAAGCGTTGAACAACATTTGTGAGGTAATGCAATCTCTGGAAAAGAATGCTAAAACTGCTAAGGAGCAAATCAAAGAACAAAAGGAAAATATCTTGAAGATTGTGACAGAAAAACTTGATGAGCGAGCAGAGAAAATAAATGATGACGTGGACAAGGTTTATGGTGAGTTACACCCTGAACTGAGCAAACAACACGATGAGATTAAAGATTATCTTGATAAAATCCAAGCTTCAGCATCCTTGCCAAGAAATCTCCTAAAGAGAGGAAGTATCGAAGAAATTATGTCATCACAAAAATTGATTGATGAGAAAATTGAGAAGTTGAGCAATCAACAACCAGAGAATCTGGCCGCAGTGAATGATGGTAGTATTCAGTATGTACCAGACGACATTGGTAATATCAATGTTGATGAAATTGTTGATAAGTTGGGATATGTGGAAGGTATATGTGAAATTTATTGTATATTACCGTCAGAACTATATATTATCAGTAAAATCATCTAGCTTTACACAGTCGATCAGATTAGAGTAAGAAAGCTCATATGCTGGGAGCGTAAAAAACAAGTGGTGGCACTATAGGGTCTCCATGGTGACTAGCCTCCATCGCAGGCATTTTGGTGGAAAACAAGAGCGAAATTTATGCAATATTTAACAGATTCAGGGGAGGTGATTGAAGCAGTAAATGAAACACTTTATTTTTCACATTGCTCGGTTTCCTTTGTTCATATCGGGGAATATATTCAATATTCCCCTCTAATCAATTTTCCTCTAATAATCCCTCTAAGGCCCCGTTTACACTATACCGGATTACTTTTCATACCGGATTAATTAGTTTACTCCGAAGTAAGAAAACAAGGGTGTTTACACTATTTCTTTGTAAAGTATAACTTTGTTTAAAAAGCTTGACCACCAGACGTTGCTTCGTTTCGCTCTAATCCAAAATTGACGAGTATTTCTTTAAATTTTGCTCTTTCGAAAGCGAAAAGTCAATGTTATTATCGTTTTCTTTATTTGTATTCGGCAGAACTAGTAAATAGTTGCAATGCGAAACAAACAACAGCTATAAAGTATTGTAAAAGCGAGCAAATAAAGGCGACAATGTTAAAACATACACGCCAAAACCGATTTTGTACCGAAGCGTACAGGATTAGCCTGTTTACACTGCTCCGGCACATACCGGATTACTTTTCATATCACCTCCAAAGCGGAGTGATTTTTATGCCGCGTCGCGTACCGGATTACTGCGGCGTAGTGTAAACAGCAGCCGAATCCGGTATGAAAATCGCGACGCTCCGATGCAATCCGGTATAGTGTAAACGGGGCCTAATATTCACCTGTAATGTCTTCGCAGCACAAAAATTGAGAAAAAAACAAAATCACGAAGGCAATACGGCATTAAGAATGATTTCCATTCTGACTCGTTAACGCGACCTCGCAATGTGAGAAATAAGTACGTTATTTTGAGGCACCTTGGGGATATGTGTTTATTCAATAAATCACATATCCCCTCGTTGCCTCAAAATAACCTATACTAATTTCCTTACCGTACAATTACCCATCATGATTCCAT